TTTACAGTCCATTTATCAACGTTATGTTTACGCAATAACATTAGATTCTTGATCACTAAAACTTATATATTATATATATGTTACAAGGAAGATATTGTATGCATACCCTGCTTATGGGGTTGATATCACATTGACTTCATTTTCATGGATCATTGATCAGTGTTGATATATATACACCTCGCCAAAAGTTAACCAACACCTGATAATTTTTCAGAATCGTTTTTTACTGATCTCCTAAATAATCGCAATATCGATGCAATGAACTGAATTTGTGTTTTAATAAGATAACATACAGAATGTTACTTGAAAAGTGCAAGTTTAGACTATTTTCATGATTGAATTTTTGACTATTTCATTTAAGGCAAATGGTTGTAAAATGGCAAAAAAAAAAAGACAAGATTAAGTTTAAACTTAATATACTGAAGTTTTTGACAAATTTGCTCTACACTATACACGAAATTCTTTTTAAAACTCGAGTCAGAGTGACAATTTGTGAATACATTAAAGTACAATTTAGGTCAGTAGCGAGTGTATCCTCCACGCTTCCGAAAAAGTTCATCCACACGTCGTCTCATGCTTTGAACTAAGCGTCGTAATGTTCTAACAGGAATTATTTGCCATTCTTCAATCAAGGCTGCTCGTAATTCCTGTAAATTATGACAAGCTGGAACCCTGTTGTTGATTTTTCGACCAATATCATCCCAGACATGCTCAATGGGATTCATATCCGGTGACATGGCTGGCCAAGAAATAGTGTCAATTGTCTCCTGACGTAAATATTCTGAAACAATGCGTGCCCTGTGTGGCCTAGCATTATCATCCATGAATATTGGTCTAGTTTCAAGATTGTGATTGTCAAAATGTGGCACAACGATATCCCGGATGATGTTATCGCGATATTTTTGACCCGTCATAGTCCCATCCAGAACATACAGGTCCATTTTGCAGTCAAATGAAAAGCATCCCCAAACTGTCACACCCCCACCACCAAACTCTGTAGTTCCAAGGATGTGCTGTTCCCTGTATGCTGTATTCTGAGGACGCCATACGCGCATGCGCCCATCAATATGATGTAGGAGGAATCTGCTCTCGTCAGACCAATGGACTCGACGCCACTGTCTCAAAGTCCAATTGCGGTGATCACGTGACCACTGATGTCGAGCTTGACGATGCCTAAGAGTCAGCAATGGTCTTTTGACTGGCCTACGGGCACGTGAATTGGCACAATTTAGTCTGCGATTAACAGTTCGTAGACTCACGCGACCATGTATTCCCCAGTTGTCGCGTAAGCGGCGAGCTGTAGTGAATGGATGTCGACGAGCTGACTGTGAAAGAGCCCTGTCATCTCTTGCAGATGTTTAGCGTGGCCTACCAGAACGTTCGCGCTCATCAACGGTCCCACTTTCTCTATGGCGCTTTAATAACCTCGAAATTACACTGTATGATACACCAAATTGAACAGCTATTCTGCGCAGACTTAAACCAGTAGTGCGCATACCAATGACTTGCCATTTCTGTGCAATTGTTAACTTACGTCTTTGCATCTTCCAAAAACAGAATATTTATCGTATACACTGACAAAACAGCACGTGAAACACCTAACATTTTATTGCACGAAACTTGCAAGGAAAAAAACTTGTATGTAGCTTTCGAAAACCTGTTTTTAAGATACCTAGGAATAAAATCTTTACCTGCATTTCTTACCTGTCGATTAACAATAGATTAACGAAATATATGGAAACAAAGCAGTATCAAATTTAATTTCAAAACAAAAAATAGAAGCAAAAACATTTAGGTGTTGCTTAACTTTTGGCGAGGTGTATATATATATAGTCAGAGCTGGATTTCCAATTCTTTCATAATCAGTAAAGTCGGTGAGATATTTCAGTGTTTCATAATAAACCGTGAAGATTTGAAAGTCTTTCTTTGGAAAAAAGAAAAAAGAACATCTTTTTTATTTAATTGACGTTATTTTGATGGTCATGTTCTCAAAGAGACAAAGAGATGTGCGGTAGATTCAGAAAACACGCAACAGTAAGATTTTCTTTTTAAAACGAGATAAACACCGAGTTTGTTACACTAACACCTTTAACTTTTTACAAAGAAAACTACCACTATTGCTGATATTTTTAAAGAAAGACATATAATTATGTTCAAATACTGCTTCACAGAACTATTTAAAGTGTATAGGCTTGTGTTTTCGTCAATTTTATTGGAACAGTTAGTTCACTTCCGGTTTCTTATGGGGTTCGTGTTGCTGAATCTGTAGTTTTCTGTGTGTGTTTAGCGGATTGTTGTTTGTCTCTCACCAATTCCGTTTGGCCATTATGATGTCTTCTTATATTTGTTATTATTACTTTTATTCAACTGAAATAATATGTCTTGAACAACGTGACAATGGAGTAATCCCAGAAACTGACCTAATGGATTTTTTTGTACTTTTAAACCATATGTAACCAGATAAAGTGTGACATTGTTAAGTTGAACCTTAGTAATCAGGGATTTGCATGACGTTATAGACTTAAGGTTTTATATAGTTCAAAGTTCAAACATATTCCGTATACCAGAAAAATAATTTTCTTAAGTCGATATGATTTACTCTATAATCTCCTATTAATCTTTAAAGACAACGCTGTTAGCATTGTATCAGACATTACTGCCTAAATATTAATTTTAGTGTATGTTTATATTTTCCCCTTTTTCCCAATTAAAATCTATCCTACCATTACAATTTGGCTTTATTACTGTGTACCATATTATATTGAGTAATGGATTACAGAAAAATAGACGAATTACAGAAAATGTCAAAATAAGTTGAATAATTTACATGATTTATTGCAAAATAAAACAAAATTCTATATTGTTACAGTTGTAACTAATATTATATTCCTTGTCCCGATCCTTCCTCTGACCAGAAAAAAATCCTTCCTATGACCAGAAAGAATTCCTTCCTATGACCAGGTAGCATTCTTTCCTCTGACCAGGTAAAATTCCTTCCTATGACCAGGTGGAATTCTTTCCTCTGACCAGGTAAAAATCAGAAATAAAAAGATACTAAATAAAGTTATGGTAAACATTGTAAAGTGAGGTCCTAGTTCATTTGTTTACATGTAAACAAACAATTCATCAAAACTGCCCTAATAAACTGAGAAATATGTCGCAATCATTTAAAATCTGTCATAAATGACATTAAGACTTTTGTATACACATAAATGAAATCACTGAAATATTGAAAGGGTTCCATGTAAACACTGAATCATTGAAAGGGTTCCATGTAAACACTGAATCATTGAAAGGTTTCCATGTAAACACTGAATCATTGAAAGGTTTCCATGTAAACCTGTCATGTTGAAGAAACGTTTACATTGATTGAAAAAAATCTAAACTTTTGTTTCACTGGAATAAGACCAGGAGTTTACATTGTTTTTACTTATCACTATACATGGTGTATGTATATAGTACTGTAAGTATTTATTTAACAAGTGTTGCATTGTGAATTAAAGGAGATGTCTACTATGCAACTCAACATTAATGAAAGTATACTTAAATATATTTTGTAATATTGTCGTAGTTTTCTAATATATTTATGATTTGCATACTAGTAGTTATGTCATTAATAAATTGATGAGTAAATTGAATGAGATTAAACCAGATTAAACTACGCATTCCGATTTCGCATTGTACACTTTCTTAATACTTCCGGGTAACAATCTGGATAAGGATTTCTGAACAACAAAAACTGATACAAAAAAAATACTGATTTTAATCGCAACCCCGGCTGTATTTTGGTGCAGAAAATACGGTTTATTTGTTAGATAAAATTTTAACCTTGCACCAGGGCATTTATACTAACGTTTTACGAGATGTATCATTCCCTTGAATGTTCGATATAAACTAACATTCCGACTTGTCGGTTTATAAGTTCCCCCTTTTTTTATTTATTAGACTAGTTTAATGCTTTCACAGGAATTTTATGAAAAAAGAAGACTTGGGTGGATTTTCTAAAAGTATTTTATATGAAAACTTTCCTGAAAATAGTTTCCTTCTATCTCAATTGAATTAATTAACGTATGATATTTTTGTCACACATTCGTCCTGAACTACCGAACAGAATGACTACATATTTGGCCAGCAGCTTGGCAGTGATGAGTTGTAACATGTGTACCGTTTTCGGATCTATCAGACACCTGGTTCCGATATTTTGAATCACGAGTGGTTATAGATTTTAAAATCTAATATAATTTTGTAAGTAATTCACATGCATGCGTTTCTACACTACAAAAGAGAAAGAAAAATAAGACAGAATTTCCAGTACTAGGTTGTTGTTGCATTTGTGTACACCCAATGCTCCTTTTATTCAATGATCAGAGCTCCATTGTACTAGGGTTTTAAACTAGATAGAACGTCTGTTAAAATGTTCTGCACAGTAATAAAAACTTACATTTTAAATATTGATTGTATTATTCTATTACAGCATATATAAGATCCACTTTAATTAATTAACATTATTAATAGTTGTTCACAAACACATATTTTTTAAAGTAGAATATTAAATTTTGAATTTACAATAGGTATTTCCAGCTACCTAGGTACTAACAGTTTCAGTCGACTATATCACGATTTGATTTGTTTTCTTTTCAGTTTTGATTTTGATTTATTTTTTTTTTTTTTTTGGGGGGGGGGGGGGCACAATCGATCCTATAGAAATTATTTTTTCACCATGTAGGTATGGCTGTACTACAGTGAAATGTCTGCTGATTTTCCGATTTTCAAATATTGAATTTACTTGAGTGAAAAGACTAAAATTGCTTACTAATTAATACTTCTATCGTAATAAAGAGCTTCATTCATGTGTTCAGTATATTTAATACATGTACATTTCTACATTGATTATCTATCAGATTTTTAGTAAATCACTTACATGACACCGGATTATTAAACATGTATTTTTTCCCTTGTTTTCACACACGTAAACATGTCTTTTTAATATTAATTTTCAGAATTTCGCTATGAATACTAGCCTGTAGACATATTTGAAGATGACCAGTCCGAAGGTTGAATGTTCTGACATAACATTTTACATAAGTAGCCCGGAGGAGGATGTTTCACATTCGAACAACTCCGGAAATTATGAGAAATCTGAGGCGGAGTTCGTGAAATGTAACGAGAGACGTCTCGATTATATCGACAGTAATCCAAGCTTGCTTCGATACATCGATAGTAACGCTGAATGTCACAGTATAGATAACTACAGTGAGAGTGAAAATGAAATGATTTCAAATAGACTGAATGAAAAGAGAGAAAAAATGAACGAAAACGAATTGGATACAAATCTAGAGAGCAGAAATTCTGTAAAGGATATACGAGATGCAAATTGCTATCATCAAATTAAAACGAATGGGGAATCAAGAGGAAAATATATAGATTGTCTTTGTGACGGTCAAACGTTAAGTCCGTGTACGGCTATTCACTCCTGCCCTAGAGTGCAATTCAAAGATACACCGAACAAAAGTTTGGAGGATATAAATTCGAACAGAGAGAATGAATTTATGTTGACAAATTCATCAAATAAAAAAAAAGTATCACTGACGTTACCGAATGGTCTTGTGAACGGAGTATACAGTGGCAGTGTGACCGATCTGGAAAATGGAAAACAGATCAGTAATGGAAAGCATGACTTTCCAAAGAGCGATGAATTTTCAATTACTAATATTCAACGGTTAAGTAGAAACAGTCGGTATAGAAAACGCAGTCAGCGAGATGTAATGCCTCCTGAGATACAAGAAAAGACCACTTGGTGGAAAGAATTTTCTGTAACGCATATTAAGGTACGTATAAAAGACGATATGAATGCTTAATGGCAGAAAACGTAAAAATGGCAAATTAAGTAAAAAACTTAAAACGTGTTTAATGAGATGGAATTTACATTTCATTTGTTTTCTCCATAAAAAGTTTATTACATATACCGTCTGTCTTCATTTTTATCACAAAATCAGTCTAGTTCAATGTACTTCATATTCTCGGAATACCGCTATTTCATAGGTTGTAACTAATTGTTTCTGTCCGATGAATCATTGAATTTTTTTTTCATTTCTGAGATATTAATTTTATACAATATGACATTTTCTATGAAAATTATTTCAACCGGGTCATTCATTTTGAAAGTGAAGCTAATGGATGAGTCATATTAAAAAATAATTGAAAATAACTTGGCTACGCTTCTGTGTTACTTACAATAAAAGACATAAGAATTAAGATAAGAATCTAATCTAATCAAGAACCCATAAAGGGCATCATTTACAACAATATTAAGCACAATATGATTGGAAAAAAGAAAAACTATATCCTAATATAATACTATCATATATAAGTCCTAAGCTTAAATAGTTAAAATGAGAAAACGTACGGATTTTGACATGCCTAATGTATGCTTCTGCATTTCACAGCCTTGTTTATAAAAGCAAATTGTCGATTTTATCTAAAGCCATTTTAGCATTTTCTGTCAGTTTAATGGATTAATAAACGACCCTTTTCCCACCAGAACGGAAGCTTGCTTAGAGCAGACGATTTAAGTGATGAATTTGTGTGGCGACATAACAAATGAAGACCATGCAGTAAGGATAGCAGATGCTCTAAAGCTAGCCTTGAATAATTCAAGTGATAATCATTTATCATAAAACTTTATAGCCCACTTTATCATGAATTTGATCGATTTATAGACAGCGGAACATTTTTAACAGGAGATCGGCATTTGATATGTATTTAATCATTGCTTAATACATGCCGCCTTATGCCACAATTTAATTACCATGCATTACAACTCGAATAAATCTAATAAAAGTACTGAATTTTTTGGTTTGGATGACAAATAAAAAAAAAAAAAGCATGGAGCTTACTGTGATCAAGGACGCATATTAGTTATACGTTCTATCTGTGATAGTGTATTTTTGTTTCGCATATTGAGATATGCTAATCTGGAGAGAATGTTTATTATTTTTATACAAGTTTACCATATCAGAAGATACAAGAGCTATTTTAAAACAATTTACATGTGATGGTCCATGATTTAAAGTAACCGGTCTGTGGTTTCGTAATCCCAAAACTGTCGTACAGTTTAAAGAAGTCTCTGCGTGCATGATTTTTTCAGTCAAAACAGGGACTTTCTATATATGTTAGTATAGAAAGTCTCTGGTCAAAATCAAATCAAATCAAATCATTTCATTTGTGTAAAATCCAAATATTGGGTTGTTACCAAGACAAACATGACAATATTTACAAACATACTATATTCAAAGTTCCTATTGGAAATGTAGTTTGTGTTGTTCTCACCAAGGATTTTGTATACAAATCCTTGTTCTCACACTGAAATATGCATAAAATATTTATTTCAATGTCGATCTGACCTATATGTACCCAACCAATACGAACAGAAATATTAATAACTATGTTCAAAATCTTATGAGATATATTTTAATACATTTGATTTAAAATATTCTTTAAAAAGAGACACATTGAAAACTTATATATTTTTTTTCTTTTCAGGCAACATTTCACAATTTACAAATTGAGAAACTTTATCAGTGCTATTGTGTTCAACTTAAACATTCATTAACTATTGCTTTGGTTACTTTAGCAATGGTCATGTTGCTAGGGACACTTATTTATCATATTGTTGTCAAGGATAAAGAGGTGAGAATAATGGATAAAATAAGTATCATTTTTAATCTTGTTGTATAAATGCAGATAGAACCTTTTATGTAACATTATATCACCCATACACACACACAATGAAGAACTTGATGATAAATACACATACACATTTAGATATTCCTTTGGTATGTTTTGCCTCTCTTTTAGGGAGCAGTCATTTAAATCTCTGATAGAAGGCAGTAATTTGTATCCAAGTCACATTTTTAAACCGATGACAGAAGACCTTCTTTCCTCATTTCTTGATGCAAGCATTTTTTTAAATTTTTTTTTTAAAAGAAAATCCTTGTCCCCTCCCCAAGAGTATCAAATGGTTGCTCCCCTAGCTTAAAGGATAAGAAGGATTGGGTTTACCACATTCTTGCTTAAAAATTATTTCTTGATTGAAGACCTGTAATAAACAGCAAGATAAAGAACAGCAATAAAAGCAGTGTTGTTTTGATTGTATTGGGTATGTTGAGGATTTTATGATATAGTTCTCTCATGCACATTCTCTCAATTTTCTTTTATATTCAAATGTTCTTCACTCCCTGAATTTATATTTGTTAGAAAATTCTTGTCCAGTTAGCTTCAGATACTTTTATATAGCTTCTTTTTTTTGTCAGCAAAATCTGTAAGCTACATTTGTTCATTAGGTGATTAACAGAATACAAATTACTGTACTTATCAAAAATGAATTGCTACATCATGATATCATCATACTAGAAACAATTGTTTTGATGTACTTTTCACCTGTAATTATCCATTCATTATCATATGAATTATTCTATGGAGTAAATATTTATGAATGAAAGGTGTGAGACAGATAATTCTGTAGAACACATGATAGAAGATAGTTCCTGTTTCATTTTATAACACCTGTTATGTTTTATGTATGATTTTAAAGCCACCATTTGTGGAGTTGTTGTATTATTCTATGTCTTAATGTATTTATTCATCCAGTAACAACTGTGTCAGTCTGTGGTCCATTCAGGCAGAGTCTATATTGTCACTTATTGATGATCAAAAGACAGAGCTAAATTTTGGATTTTTTCAAATTTTATTAATAATTGGACATAGGTTTTTAAAAATTTATATTTAGATACAGTCATGGTTTAAATTATTTCATATGTAAGTGACTTTGTCAGACCTTGGTGTAATTTTGAACTTGGACAGATGCTTCTTTCTGATCAAAAGACCTTTTAAATATCCTGAGCTAGGTTTAAATTTTTTCCATATTTTACTGATAAATGGCATTATGTAGTACTTTGCAGTTGATATTTAGATACTGGGTTTAGAGTATTTTAGACTTCAATAAACTTTGTATAACCTTCATAGAATTTTTGAAATTTGAACAGAAGTTTTTTTTTTATGAGTGAGAGATTCAAACATCTAAAGCAAAATTTTGAAAATACATTTTTTTTTTAATTCTTCAGTGTCAAACTTATAGATTGTCTTAGTTTTATGCAGTTAACATTTACATACAGTCTGCTTTGTATCAGTCTGATGAGTAAAGCCCTTTTCTACTGATTTTTATAGTTTTTTCTTATGTTGTGCTGTTACACCACTGTCCAAAGTTAGGAGGTTGAGTTCTCACAAACATGTTTAACCCTGCAACATTCTATATGTGCCTGTCTCAAGTCAGGAACCTGTAGTTCAGTGGTTGTCGTTGGTTCATGTCTGTCATATTTGTTTTTCGTCAATTGAATTGTTTCATATTTTTCATGTCAGGGCCTTTTATAGCTGACTATACATTATGGGTTTTTCTCATTGTTGAAGGCTGTACAGTTGCCTATAATTGCTTACATCTACTTTATTTGAACTTTGGTGGATAGTTGTTTCATTGGCAATCATACCACTTCTCCTTAGTTTTATATGGGGTTAAATTTATAGACATCAATAACTTTATCAATCCTTCATGGATGGTACGAATCTTGATCAGAAGCTTTTTCATGATCAAGGCATGGGGTTATCAACCTACAAATTTAGGTACAGACGTCCGGCTGAGGTTTGACAAAATCACAACCCATTTATATATATTTCCAAGCTATCATGACATCTTATTTCAATGAGATGTTAACCACATTGAATCCATGAGTCATATTATGAGATAAAAAGATCAGAACACAGTTTTTACAGATATCTTAACAGAAGAAAAACATGTATTGACATATAAATTTCTACCTATTAGTATGTTACCTCCTTGATATAGCCCATTGATATATTCGACTTTCCAAAAAAGTCACCCAAATTGTTTGGATCTAGAACATTTCTATTTTAAGGATTTTAGAACTACAGGATATTGTTTTATTTGATATCGTCAGGGAGTTTCATGTTGAAAATCTATATTAGAGAAGGCATTTATAAGTAACCCATCTACCAACCCACATTAACCCTTCACCCCTCCCTTCCTCTCTCCCTTCAAAAAATACAAAGAACAAAAAACAAAACAGAACAAAACAAAACAAAACAAAACAAAACAAACAAACAAACAAACAAACAAACAAACAAACAAACAAACAAACAAACAAACAAACAAAACAAACAAAACAATATCTAAAAGAAATCAAAACAAAAAGAATTACAGGCCTCATCATTAACCTAAGTTTGAATAATGGTTTGATCATCTTTTAGTTTTTAAAGATTGACAAGTTGTACATGAAAATGAAAGTAAACATCTCATTTTCTTCAGCAGGAGAAAAACACTATATTTTGATATCACTTATATTTTATATTTCAGAATTTGACAAAGGAAGTGTTTTTGACAATAGTGATAACCTTATCAAGTGGATTCATTATTTTCTCTGTAATCCTGATCTTTATACTCAAAAGAAAATATTACTCAAAATATCCTACATTGATATCACTGTTGATATGGATTTTATTGCTCATTGTGGCAAGCATTTACTACAATATTGTTCAGAAAAAGAAAGTGACGGACAACATTGCCGTAATGTTTTATATCATCATTGTTTGTTACATTATGTTACCACTGTCCAAACGTTTGTCGTTGTTTCTTGGTATTGTGACAGTCCTACTGGAGATGATAGCATCAACTCTACTTCATTCTACAGGATCAAACTTTCTAGTCGAGGAGGTAAGTCTGAGGACAATATTATTCATTGTAATACTGAGGTTAAGACATTATTTTGTATACAATAGAGTATTGGTTTGATTAAGTTTCACTGTCCAAGTCCCCATATATTTCTGGTTTTACTGTGTTTTATGACTACTCTATGTAATTGGTATACCCCAAATCTATTTTCTTTTAAATATGTGGAACAGTTCTAATAGTTCATTTTGTATTCTTACTTATCTGTATATTTTTATCAAAGTTTAAAATGGTTTGTATTTTACCCCGCTCCAAAGGAGGGGTTGGTTTATGTCTGTCTGTTTTTCTGTCCATCACATAAAACTTTGGTCACACTTTTCTCAGGAAGTACAAATCAAAGCTTCTTGAAATTTAAAATCAGGATTTCTGCAGGTATTTTATACTTTGTGATACATAATTCCATATTCATTGCTCATCAATTTCCTGTTCACCAAATACTCATATATTCTTCTTCTTAAAATGATCATGTATGAAATTTTGGTAAAATTTTACTAAGGAAGTACAAATTAAAGCTTCTGAAATTTGTAATCAAGCTTCAAGTTGTTAGCATGGCTATACAGTGTGATGTGTTTCACATACATAACTCATCAACTTCCTGTTTACTGATTACTTAAAGAAGTTATTATTGAACTTGTTCAGGAAGAAATTACATGTACCGATATAAAGTTAATTAAAATTATTATATAATTCTAATGTATATAGTCAAGAATAGATCTACTGACTAAACGTACCTTCATAATGTTTGTAACGAAAAGGAACTATTACACTGCATATTTCCAGAACCTTCTGTTTCCTCAGTAACATAGGTATCACAATTAATATTGTACAAGGATTCTTATTTTTTTTTTTATTTTAAATAAAAGTAGAAAATGTGGTAAGACATCATTGAGACAGCAAGACAAAGGACACTTAATACTAAAAGATATCCAGTGGTTAACATATATCTTCACAAAGGGACAGGTGTCTAATACACAATATTATGTTTACATTTGACTTATTTTGATACTTTTAGAAGTTTTTAAGTACTAATGAAGATGTTAATCTGAAACCTTATGATCATTGATCAACAGAGCAGGAAAATTGAAAAATTTAGAATTTTTTTTTAAATTATCATAGAAATTTATGTGATTTGTTTTATTTTAACACCTAAAGATGAATAAAAACCATTCCTGAACAAATATTTCACAATTGTATTGAAATATCTTTTTGAATGCAAAAAACTAAACTCCATATAATGATGATATTAGCCTCTCTTAATCTTTGTATCAAGTACTATGATTTCTAAGCTCTGAGTTTTAATAAAGTTTGTCCTTTGCTTCTAAAAATGTATACAAGGTCATATATATATCAGTCCCCCCTTTCACCCCCCCCCCCCCTCCCCCCCAAAAAAAAAAAACACAAAAACATACCTGCTGCCACAATATCTATTAAAAAATGCATGAATATGAAAGTTCATAAAATTAGAAAGTACCAAACATAGTCACTATTCTACTTCTCTTCTGTCAAGTCTCTTACTACTTAATCACATGACTGATTCGGTTGAAAGAGGAGTTTACAACAGTAAGGAAACAGTGAAATTCTAAAAAGAGATCTCTTTGTCATCAAATGCCACAGGAGGTTGGGGGACACAGCTATTGTCCTTTGATCACTTGCCAATTTTTTCATACCCACTCCAATTTACTTCTTCATGTTTAATGTCTTAAATAGCAATTAAGGAGGGGGATGAAATTACACTGTTAAAAAAATGTGGGTCATAAATTTTAAAGTAAAATGCCTTAATTAATATAAATGATTTGTTCCAGTTGAAAAGGTTAAAATTAGTATGTCTAAATTTAAGCTGCCAAACAGAATTTAAGACCCATTAAAAAAAAATTGTCTATATTTTGTGTTTGAGCTGGTTAACTTTTTTATAAGTTTGGTATAATTTTCCCAAAAGTTATTACACTACACTGTAAAAATCCTATTGAGATATTGCAGGTGCTTTTTTTTAATTTGGATTTATTGTCTAATTAAGAAATGCACTATATATAATAAATGTGTTTCTCAGGCTAGGACAAGGTTATAAGTTTTATCATATTTTAAGAGAGTGGACATCTATCATTTTTCACTATTGATCTTAAGTCTTCTAATGTATCAAACAGATTTCCAGTAAAATGCCTTATTAAGTATTTTCTTACTTATAACTGATGGTTATCAAAAACATATCAATTTTTTTATTTATTTGTCCTTGGATATAGCATAATAAAATCTATTGTGTTTTTGTATATATATTTTTATTTCAAATAGGGTTTCAAATTTCAAAGTGATAGACAGATATTGGGATTCATTTATTCATTACATATTGTTTGTCCTTGAATTATCATAATGTCCTGATAACAATATAAGGTTTAATATTTAGAGTTGAATAAATCGCCATCTGATTAAGACTTCCAATTATTGATAAGAATAACAGATTTAAAAACTAATATCATAATTAAACAAAAGTTATACGTTTTTTCCCCTTCAATACTTTTTAGAATTAAATGAAAACAAAAACCAAGTTAAAAAAAAATAGATGAAAATTGATTCCTTATATATAGTCAGGAATTCTGGCGTCGAAAAATGCTCTCCTAACTTGTGACCCTGATAAAATAAAAGGAGATGTGGTGTATTCCCCAATGAGACAACAAACCATATACAAAAAAAAAACAGAAGACATTCGAAATACATATGGAAGAAGATTATTGAAAATAGTCAAAATAAATTTTAATTTTAACCTGGAAAAGAATAAATAGACCATAATCCTACTCAAAACAGAAACCATTGTTTAAATGGCTTTCAAAGTCATGACCTTTCAAAACTTCTCTAGGACACCATTAGGGGAACTACAAATGTGAAATTTTGGAATTTAAAGAAGGTTTTGAAATGTTCCTTGCCCTATTTTAATGGGGTTATTAAGTCAAGGATTTATCAGAAAAATTTGACAAAAAATCATTTTATTTCACCAAGTCTCATGCTTAAGCATCAGCTTGAAACATTTTTCATCTTGAAATAATGGACTTAATATTGGGGGCTAAGTAAATGTAGGGCCCTTACCACACCTACTCCTTTGTCAATCAAATTAAGGAAATACAAAAATCCTTGCTTTCTTCATAATAAAATTGAATAGAACGAAAGGGAGAAATATATATCATTGTCATTTTGCTTAGTTTCTTCTGTTACCTTTTCTGACATCGGACTCTGACTTCTTTTAAACTGTGCGTATTGCTGTGGGTTTATTTATTCTAAATTGGCTAGAGGTATAGGGGGAGGGTTGAGATCTCACAAAACATGTTTAACCCGCATTTATATGTATCGGAATTTAGTGTGACGTCCATTTTCACTGAACTAGTACACATTTTTGTTTAGGGGCCAGCTGAAGCCAGCAATAAACCGTTTGCTCTCAAGTGTGACAGGTTAACTTCCTATATAGTTTTGTATGTGGACAGTGCCTTAATAAGACATGGGAAGATTTATTTTTTTTTAAATTAAGTAAAAAGGTTTTATTATTGAACTAGGTCAGGATTTTGGCAGTCTCCTACTTATAAGTTAGTATGTAGGAATAAAAAAATAGACAGATTTAAGTTCCTATTTGCCAAAATATAGTTTTTGTTGTGCTTTTAACTTTATTTTTGATATAGTTGTGAGGCTTGTTTTCAAGCTACAGGTGTGCCAAATTGACAAATTATGTAGGGATTATACATGAAAAAAAATTATTTAGTGAATAGAAAAAAAACTTAATGATAGAATTTTGAAATAAAATGAGAAGATGGGATAGTTCTTATAATATGATTTCAGAAAACTATAAGAAAAGTGGAGTCACTGAACTAATGTTTAGTATTGTTATATAACAAAATATATAAATTTTCTGTACATTACTTCATAGAACTAAATTATCTGAGTTATCTTCCCTCATAAAGCCATGTTATAAAACATTTTACTAGTAATCAATCAAATTTTTCCTGTACTTGTAAACATGGTTGTCATTATAGTTAAAATCACCTAAATGGCTTCATTGAAATGAAAATTCTCACAAATAATTGCATTCCTGCATCAAAATTTGCTTAATTCATTAAAAATTTGGACAATCATTGGGTGTTTTGATCTGAGATGGCAAAAAATCTCATACTTCCGTAAAGGGATATTTGTTGTGTAAAATTTACGAATTTATGAAATTTATTTTAATTTTTTCTATTTTTGGTCTGACCACCTAGTAGCACAACTTTACCAAATAATGATAACCAGAGGTAAACCCCCTACTCAGATCTGGTGTTGCATAGTCATATGTCAGAAGCAAAATCATTGGTCAATTGCTATTTAACAGAAGAGTCATTTGAACTGAAATTCAAAAGAACCAGATAGATGATAGAAAAAAACAGATAAATGTACTTCTAGTCCAAATAATTATGATGTCTTGAAAGGCTGTTAAATTTGTTTGCTGTGACGCCTTCCTACAATGATTATTTGGACTAAAGTGCATCATAAAATGAGTTTTTATGCACAATATTGATCACATTGAATATAAGATATTAAAAAAGCACTTTAAATTTACTTATTTATGTTGGGGAATTCAGATTACATAACCTGGATTTTAGAATTAATCTACAATTTGTATATCCTTTGATATCCTTTATCCTTGATATGAAAAAAAAATTATATTCAAGTTGCAAATAAACTGTTTGAAAATTAAAGAAAATCTATGCAACCACTTCTGATAAAAGGTCTTGTTTTAAATTATGACATTCATTATCAAAAAGCACGTGATATTTAAAATTATTACATAAAACAGCATTATGATATTTATTTATTTTATTTGACATTGAGGAAATGAATAGAACACAAAAATATAAAAATGAACCTATGTTAATCAGATCAATCCAACTAAAAAGTGATATATTAGGTATGCATCAATAAATATTACATATGCATCAATAATAATTTTATGGCATTTTTAAAACGTGAATAATTTTGAAGGAATGAGATAGGGAAGCGATGTACAGAATTATGTCTTAAATGGATATAACCTTGAATGGCATGTGATTATAGAACCACAGGAGATTTGTTTTCTAGGATTGGTTAAATTGATGTTTGATCTACTCTCTGTGGACAGTCAGATGATTTTAACTTAATGTATAAACGCCTAACTGCAGGAAATTATAAATTGTCCTATTTTTTATGATTTATAACTGACTTTTGGTCAAGAAAATCTTCTGAACAGATTTATAAATATCGTCCTACTGTGTTGTTTGTTTTCATTGAATTTTTTCGTAATTTGGCGAGTGGTCAGGAGTCATACAGGAGTGCATAATATTGCATACAGACATACAATAATTTCATATTCAACTTACTTCCACCTCATCCAATTCTGTAAAGAATGCATTTATTTCTTAAAGTTTCTAATGTATTAGGGACCAATTGCAAGATGGCCATAAGGATCACACTTTTTCATGGTTCACGCTAACAATTTAGGTAGTTTCCAGCATATATCTTAGTTCAATGAAGGTTATTGTATGAAGATCATACTAAATTCAAAGGATTTGATCAATGTAGAAAGTTCTTATATATCTTTCTAATACTATATAAATTTTCTCTAATTACATAGTATTGAGATTATTGACTTATCTTATTTATAGAAATTGCTTTCTAGAATATTTTGCAATAAATTGGATCTATCAATTTTCTGGAAAAAAAGTTCTTTACTTTGAGTGGGGAAATTGAAGTCAAATGATGACACTGACAAACCAATATAAATTTCAATCATGGTTTACTATAAGATCTATCAATTGTTAGAGTATTATTTTTTTACTGTGTAGTTCTACATAAAGATTTTAAATGTGATTGTATCCAAAATCAATCATACAAGTTGGTGCTTATAGAAAGCTTTTATGGAGATTCTTACAGATTTTTGGTGAACATCTTGGAAAAAGCCATACAGTTCTTGATTTTATATAATTTTTGTTATGTTTTTGTATGACATTTATAGGAACAAGAATTCTTTTTTTAAATGGAACTCAGGAGATTAAAAAATTCAAATTATACAGTACTTTTGTCCTTCTAATTGGAAATTTGAGAGTATTTACATTATGTCAATGTATCATACCTTCTATCTTTTATATGCACAATATATGGGATATATTGGAAGGACATATTTTCTAATATACATAAAATCATTAACATTTGATGGGTTAACAAGAAATAACTAGTTTTTGATTTACTGCTATTAAGGATATTAGAATAACTATATATTTTAATTGGGCTCAGATTAGTACAATATTGTTATTTTATGGTAATATTTTTTTAAAGGATTTTCTCAAGTGGCCACATAGATAAATATTCTTTCAACTCTTAATTACTCTTTTTGGTTATATTTCTTTAAGTTTGTGGCATTTATGTCAGGACATTTTAAGCTAATCCCTCCAGGGTTGTTCCCAGATGGCTATAAATATTACATGAAATATGAACACAGAATTGTTAATGAACTTAGTACTATCTGGTCTAATTAATGTTCATTTCTTTAATTACCTTTTGTGTTTTAGGACGTGTGAAATTTTTATTTGTTTTTAATGAATATTACATGTTTATTTTTCTCTAATTTATTCCTATCTGTTTTTGCACTCTAACATGGTAAAAAAAAGGCAAGCAGAATTAGATTGGTTTATTTATATCTTATACTTGTTATAAATATTTGTAATTTTTATAGGATTTTATAAGTATGAAATTTCGTAAAATCTGAATTTTTACATTGATGATATTGGCCGTAATATATCATCATCAGCTGCTGTTGTTTATTATCACATATCTCTCCTTGATATTAATATTATCACATCCTCACTACTTGGCAAGTTCTGGAAATGTTTTAACTTAATGGACCCCATCTGAAATAAGCTGTATGGTTTTCATGGGTTATCCTTGCATGGTTGAAGAAAAAAATCAGCATTGTTTTCGGTATTAAAGCGTCAATGATCAATCAAAGGTTTAATGTTTTACTTTTAATTGATTGAGAAATGAATTTTAATTCCAATGTTACAAATTTGGTGTCTTTGGAAGTAAAACCAAGTAACCTTAGTGTAGAAAAAAAAGACATATAAAATTGTTAACAGTGTGTTATGGGTTGCTGTTATATTGATACATACCTTTATTCACATTATATAAGTCAGTTTTAGTGTGTTCAGTAAGATCTGAAAAAGATCATATTAGCTCAGGGGAAACACTTTTTTTTACCATAATTGTGATATTTATACAAAGAGATGAAGCAGTAATTCTGAATTGCTTGAAGGAAGAACTTATAGATAACAGATGACAAAGCTAGATGTGGCCATATTGATGTAAAAGTTAAAAACACATTTTTAACAATTGGACAATCTTCTGACTTCTTGATTTGACAAACTTATCTTCCTGATAGGAAACAAAAGTGGTGGTCGAAGTGTTTCATTTCCCAAACAAAATGTACAACTTAGGACTAAGAAAAGATTATTGATAAATTATAAATACATTTGTGTAATTGAAAACTTTCATTTATGATGTCATTGAATGTTCTTAAATGACATTAACAGATCTACTTAGATTAATACATAATACATAAATTGCAATAATTGGAAAATTAAGTGAATTCGTAATCAAACAATAGAAGAGAACTTGTTCCTGACCATTGAAAAGTTCTTCAGGAGATTGACTTTATGTCTGACAGTGGTATCTCTTAATTGGTTTGTTCATTAAATTTAGCAAACAGACATGACAATTACATGTGATATATAACTGATGTAAATAGACCATTTGTAGTCAGCGAATACAATAAAATGTCTGGCAAAAACATGTTAATTCTATAACAGTTTCATAAAGGCTGATATCAGCAATAAATGCTGATGTTCTTTAGATTTGTCACAATCTTCTTTTCTGAGGCCAAAAGTATTTTTGTTCTATATGAACTTTTAAATTTTAATTTAAATTTCATGGGAGATAACTAATTGTTTTCTTTCCTTTACATGAAAGGGGAAAGCATTTATTAGCTTATCTCCAATATGCTTTATACCTACCTCTGGATGTTTCATAAGGAATTAAATTAGTTTTTCCTTTGGTATGAAATTAAAACTTCTTATTCCAGTTTTCATTTAGAACATTTTTATGCCCCACCTAGGGGCATTATGTTTTTTGGTCTGTGCGTCTGTTCGGCCGTCTGTCCGTCCGTCTGTCCCGCTTCAGGTTAAAGTTTTTGGTCAAGGTACATTTGTAGTTTTTGATGAAATTGAAGTCCAATCAACTTGAAGCTTAGTACACATGTTCCCTATGATATGATCTTTCTAATCTAATTTTAATGCCAAATTAGAGTTTTGACCCCAATTGAACATAGAAAATGATAGTGCGAGTGGAGAAATCCGTGTACTATGGACACATTCTTGTTTTTGGCTGGTTTAAATTCTAACATCATTTCATACAGAGAGTCAATATCAAACCTGTAGGATTCTATATGTACTCTATTCCTTCACTGCCCATATAATATTTATGTCTTGATGTTGTTGAGTATATAAAGAAGAAGATGTGGTATGTCAGTGCCAATGAGACAACTCTCCATCCAAGTCACAATGTATAAAAAGTTAAACCATTATAGGTTTTACCGTTTGAACATTTTTATTTTATGTTACTAAATGCAGTGGGAACAGACATTTTTATTTTATGTTACTAAATGCAGTGGGAACAAACATTTTTATTTTATGTTACTAAATGCAGTCGGAACAGGAATTTTTAAGGCCTGCAAATAATGAAATTTAGACATTAAAGTCAAATAACGGTATATCTTAATCCTTTACATAAAAATTATTAATTAACTGATTTTCTTTATAGTATTATAATTTTATCTTTCAGCTTATGTCAAATTTTGTAATACTCTTATGTGCAAATATGATAGGGATGTATCATAAATATCTTACTGATCTGACACACAGAAGAACATTCCTGGAGGCCAGAAACTCAATACAGTCAATGAAGAAATTAGAGAGAGAAAAGAAACAACAGGTACTGATTTCAAAATATTGAACTGAAATTTTAATACTCCTTATTTAAATTGAAAATGATATTGGATGGATGAACTGAGAAATACTAAAGATAATCAATGTATAAATAAATAGTGATTTTATTGCTGTTCTTCGTCCTAACATTGTCTAGGATGTCTTATAAGATGAACTTGAACCAATCAGGTCATAGGTTTTCATTTCTGAATTGTTTCTCATTTTGTCATGTTAAGGTTTTTTATAGCTCACTATACGGTATGGATTTTGTTGAAGGCCGTAGAGTGAACTATGTCTGCTGACTTCATCCTCCTTTGGTCTCTGGTGGATATATATATATATATATATATAAGTACGTCTGAACCAGTGACAACTCTACAACAGATTTTATCCATCGGATCACACGCAGTGATGGTGATGGATAAAATCTGTTTTAGAGTCATCACTGGTTCAGACGTACTTATAATATAATTATTTCTGTGACTGCATCTTACATTAATTTGTAGGATCCTTTAAAATAGATAATTCAGCTGATCTGTAACAATTCCATGTTCATGCCTTATATATCATGTACTGTGTTACGATGCTAGATAAATACTGCTGGTGATCCGATGGATAAAATCTGATGTAGAGTCGTCACTAGTTCAGACATACTTATAATATAATTATTTCTGTGACTGCATCTTACATTAATTTGTAGGATCCTTTAAAATAGATAATTCAGCTGATCTGTAACAATTCCATCTTCATGCCTTATATATCACGTAACACTGTGTTACGACGCTGTATAAAAACTGATGAGGAAAGGTAACCGGTATATATAGTTATCTCATTGATAACCTTACCAAATCTCCTTATTGTGATATTGAAAGTTCACACCTTAAATTATGATCTGGATGGCCCTTATTGTTCACCTTTATAAATAAGAAGATGTGGTATGAATGCCAATGAGATAACTCTCCATCCAAGTCACAATGTATAAAAAATTAACAATTATAGGTCAGTACTTCCTAAGCTGTACTCTCTGGTATTTACTGATGACTGCTTCATATGTCTTTGAAGTTATATATGAATACACCTTATCGCTATTTGTCCGCCATTACTGGACTTCGCAAAGGTTACTATAAAATTTTGACGTCATAATACAAAATATCTGATGCCACAATGGGAAAATGATTGTTGTATGACGTCAATAGTTCAAGCAGCGCAGATTCTCGGGTCAACTGGCGCAGATTTCCAAATAGCGATAAGGTTTATTGCATTTACAACTGAAAAGCCTTCCTAGAAATTCTGTCATTCATTGTCTGAAAAAGGAACATGTAATTATAACAACTACAAACAAACAGACAGACAAGGTATTATTGAGAGTTCATTTTCTGTTCATCAATAATCATTACATCAAGGGGTACAGCTACTTACGCTACAAAAAGGGGGTACATAGATTTTACTGAGGCTGCTGTACAGACCTTAGCCTTTACTGACATGGCATCAATCCTTAAACATATAATCAAGAAAAAGGAAACAGGAATCATCAAAAATATTAAACAGTAAAGCAGATCACACCAACCTCAAACAGCCGACCCTTTGAACAAACAATAAAAATCCTGCCCAGTCCCCCAATATGATGTAGTAATAAATTTTATCTTTTTGAATTGATATAAACTTAAGTATTTCATAGAGGTAAAGCAGTACAATTTATAAAATCAAGGACTAATGTTCTGATTCTTTTGGCTAATACGAACAAGTGATCTATATTCTCAAGTAATAACATCCGACATAAATCTCTATAATAAAAACCAAAGTTAAATACCAAAGTTCACTTATTAACATTACTAGTATAAAAAGTTCATTAATCATAAATAAAAGTTGTTTTATAAAAGAAGTAAGATGAAAGGGAAATAATCCTCTTAGAATGACATAATAGATTTGTCCTAACACTACTGTGATATTTCAGTTCTATTAATTATTGAATTCATTCGTGATACTCTTTTTCTTTAAATTTCCTATTAGTAACTTGAATAAAAGAAATGTATTAAACTCTATAGTCAACTTGTGACCAACAAACACATACAATAACAAAGGGGCAACATTTCAAATACTGTGTATTGATTGGTTGTTTAAATAGAACTATACATTTAGAAATTACCTTGAGCATTTACTATTGTTATTGATAATAAATTAATAATGTTTAGGTAAATGGTGCATATATTCATGCATAACCTTTATCAGACAATTAGCCAGGAGGTCTCTGTTAAGAAGAAAATTAACAAAACTATCAGTTACGAAAAGAGTAAATCAACTTCAAGAAAAACTTTGATATATTAATATGACCCCCTTAAGTGTTGGTGACTCCAAACACCATGATACATGGCCGTCATAAGTATTGAAAAGAGACAATTTAACAAAAGAAATCAATAACAAAAAAGGCGCAATGACTGTATCAGACTTTTGCTAAATGATACACAATGATTCTCTATTTGGATGTTAGTTAATCAGCTTTTAAACAGCTATCAAACATAGCAGCTATCATAACCCTACTACAAATATAAAAACTTGTCAAAAAATTCATTAAAAGAATTGTTATCATGTTATGAAATCCTATAAAGGATAAGTTATTACCAAACTTTGGTCAAAAGATATATTTACAATAACTTTTAGATTATGGTATATGACCATAATTGCCATGAATATTGACTGCCAAGTTAACTAAACATAAAAATAATATATGAAGAGTTTTGAACACAAACAACAGTCTTTAATAATTCTACCAGAGACATATATATATATATGTCTCTGATTCTACTAAGCCTTATTATAAAAGTTGTTACCCTATTGTTGTTCCTGCGTCATTGGTTTTGCTTTATTGAGTCAGAGTTATGCATAGAAGCTTAGGTGAATAAATATAGGCTCCTTGGAGCCTCAACATATCCTTTTCATTTGTTAAAAATGTAAATTACATCTGATGCAAATATCATGTGGCTTTTTTCTTGAATAATCAGTAAACTCTCCACGAAGTGATGCTATGGTTATTTTAAAGACATTTTTTGGGGTAAATATACAGTTAAAAGTTATAATGATAAAAAGGGGAGGTTTGAAATCTCAAAAACTAGTTCAACATTGCCACACCTTCAAGTGTCTCTCCCAAGTCACTCACTCGCTCACCTGGACCCTAAGATCAATTGTTGTCTTTTGTCATATCCTAATTGTTTTGGTTATTTGAAGAACTTAGTGATGATGGCAGATAGGTTATAGTCTAATTTATTCACAATTTCTTTAGACTGGTGATTTATATCTTAACATATTGTTATTGGGCACCAGTTTATTGTTGAGGACAGAATGTTTACCTCTAGATGTGTTTTGGATATATTTGATATATTAAAAAAACAAAATCCTCTTTAAAATTGCAGTTTATAACTGTGCCCATAGTTCAGTATGATGACATTACATCAATCATCCATATGATGGGTGTCACATGTGGAGCAGAATCTTCTTACCATTCTAGAGCATCTAAGATCATGCCCTCTTTTTGGTGAAATTGCTCAGTCTTTAGTTAAATTCTAAGTAGTGATTTATATATAATTAGTATTTGGTAGATTTACCATCAACTATATTTTGAATCAGTTTTGAGAGAATATGAAAATACTAGGAACTAACAAATCCATTTATTTATTAACTTCTACATAATTATAACCAATCCACATTGTGTCAAGGATAAAAATATATTTTGTTCTACTCATAAAATCAAAGTCAATGTGGAATTAGCATTGTATGATATCAAAGTAAAAACAATTATATTTACTGATCTGGGATTAGAAATAATTCTATAATATCAAAGTATAATCAATTATTTGCTGGTCTGGAATTAGAAACATACATGTGCCAGAGTTTTCAAGTCATAAGGCGAGATTTGAGAATTTTCAGCTGGAGTTTGGGCCTCATAACTGGAGATTTTTTATCAACATTTTCAGTGATCATTTTGATGATAAACCTTACATATTTCCCCTTTTTTAAGATGAAAATGCAATGTACTTTAGTAAGTGATTTTTTTCCTTTAGTCATCTTTGTCATTATTTGATGTAGTATGGCTTAAGTGTCCTTTCAGTTTATGGGTAGAATGAAGTTATGGTTATTGAATATTTCAGAGCTTTGACTTTTTTGCTCATTCACTCCTACTTTTTAAAATAATAATGCCGATTTTGATGTGTTTTGATCAATTTAGAAAAAAATATCATTCATGTATACAATCAAAGTTAGAGATATAATGTACAGGATTTAGGGTGTGTCCCTTTACATAACAATGTAAATATGATAACCAGACGCAGAATCGTGTGACTCGTGTTCCTTTACATAGCGATGTAAATATGATAACCAGATGCAGAATCGTGTGACTCGTGTCCCTTTACATAGTGATGTAAATATGTTGTAAACCAGATGCAGGGTCATCAGACTCTTTTTAACAAATTAGTATCATTTTCTTTGTACTGGTATCAAACACATGTAGGCTTTCAAAACTTTTTTTTTAAATTTAAAAAATCTAAAATTTACTTGTTGCTGGCAATTTCTGTTTTTATCTTTAAGTAAGATATATTGTAAAGTAATTTTATTTTGATTGTGGACGAAATTTGTCTAATATTATTCATGTATTTAATTTTATATGGTTGGAAGCCAGCCATATATCTTAAAAAGCACAATCATCCTATTAAATATTTAACAGTTCAACCTTTAGAAGTAGTAAATAAGCAGCCTGGTGAATCTCTTTCAAAGTTTGTATGATCATGGAAAATAATTGAATTAAATTGGATTAAAAATTTACAGACAGTCTACCCTCTAGGTCTTAATGATAATATCATGGGAATTGGTAATATATCAAGAACCGATTCTGTTAACATTTTGGATATAGTTTTCTAAAACTGTTCGTAAAAACCGTTCTCATGGGCGTAGAAAAAATCGCAATCAAAGAAAATTTCGGACCAACCATACAATTATTTCGAACCTAATTTCTATTTC